TCTCCTAAAATAAATACCTCATACCCCTTATTGTTAAATTTTTCCAATTGGTCCTTCATAGTTTCACTAAAAAGCTCACGGTCACCAGAGGGATGCCTATAGATACAACCAATCATAATGTTTTTTTCTTTCTTACGCATAATTTCAATCCAGCATGACTCGATGTCAATTGTTGATAATTCAAGGTCTTTTCTTCGGACAAATTCCAATTGATTAGACAAATAAAGGCCAACACCTCCAGCCGAAGTTTTGGAATTTGTATTCAAGAATTCGTATCCTGGTATGCTAATATTTAGCCGACTATTTTCGTTAAGTTTCGTTTTAGAAATAGCTATAACATCTGGAACCTCTTTTGTTATAGAAAGAATATCATGCAGCATAGATATATTTTTAGATAGACTGCGTATGTTGCAATGTATCATGGAGAATCCATTCTTCCTGCTGGTCTCAGTGAAAAAATTTCCCATTTGTTTAATGGTATAATATTTAGATTCGATATTACTCCCATAATCCTGAAATCCTGGATCTTTATCTGGGCTTTCAATTACATCTTGGAAAAGATCTTTTGAGTCTAGCAAAGTGGCAGAGGAATGATAAATCCATGCCCCAGTTGCTTTAAGAAACTCTTCTATGTACATGTATTGCTATAATGTGTGAGGTTTCATTCATATTTGGGTTGCCTGTGGTATAGCCTCCAAAGGAAGCCCAAGGACATCCAAAACTATACCAATGAAAATTTGGGCTGTCTATGTTGCGAGCTACCTGTGTTGTGGGCTACCTGTGTTGTGGGCTACCTGTGTTGTGGGCTACCTGTGTTGTGGGCTACCTGTGTTATGTTAGACAAAGGAAGTCCAAGTACTCACTTCAAATACAAAACTCAACAGATCCCTGCAGATAGCAATGACACCTCATTATTGGCACATCTTCTTGGCAACCAGTTTAACTCCCCCAGCCATGTTCTGAAAGTAATGTCTCACATCCAAGGACCTTGGTCATTTGTTTATTATCAACCAATGGAGGGCAAGATCTGGTTTGGACGAGATTACTTTGGAAGGAGGAGTCTTGTGTGGCATCTTCCAAGAGATGATGATGATGTTATAGCTGTGTCATCTGTAGCACAGAGAAATGACGAGGATAAAAACATGAGCATGGTAAGTTGGATACCTGGAAAATGATCCAGCTATTGCAATACTAAACAGCATATTGTATGACCCTTATATCCAGCAAGTATAATTACAAGCACAGGGTAATGAGGTAATGATCCCGGCAATTTGTTTAAAAGGCAATCAATGCTATGGTGTGGTGTGGTGAGGCTTCAATATCTAGTTTAAGTTAATTGAAGGGCACTGGAAGTACATGTATACATTTTATTGATATTCATAGTTGTCTCATTTTTCAGACTTGGGAAGAAATTCCTGCTGATGGTATTTATTGTCTTGAAACAAAACTACACGACACAACTCAAAAACAGCATGTAGAAGCATTCAATTTTAACACTTTTAAACTCAAAAAGTATCCTTGGACTTTGACCCCCATGAACCTTGATTCACATGATGATTTCTTTACTATGAAGGCACCTGTGAAGCCTTTTAACAAGGACCTTCCAACAGAATCTGACCTGGAATGTTTAGGTAATGAATATACAAATGAAAGAGAGCGGAATGGAGTAAGAAAAAACTTAGAATTTGCCCTGCACTTGGCCGATCAACAAGACACTAACAACACTGCAAGAAGCTTAGAAAGAGAAGCTCTGTTGGTCCATGATGAAAGGAATACTGGCGGTGATAAACAAAATATACGAAGCTCGTCTTCAGACAATGAATGCTTAACACAAAAACATGAAATGGGACAAGAGGGAAGAGATGTCACTGCTTCCCCTGTGTCCAATAATCAGCCTTCTAAGCAAAGATCTGGAGCTACTTCACGTAACATTGACACGTTGAAAGAATTGTGCAACAAAGTTATGACATCTAATAACTTCCACAAACTAACTGCCATTTGCAAGGATGCTGGCTCTTCAGCTTTAGATGTAAAAGAATGCAATTATCAAATTAAGGAAATGACTTTGGACAGCTTACCAGAATCTTTGATTTCGGTACTCGGTGAAGCAGTAAGGAAGAGAGTATTTAATTTACCAAGGATCAATTCTAATAGTGAGAAACAAAAACTTGAGTATGAAAGTCATGGACTTGGTAGTTCACCAGCAAAGCTACCCTGTGGAAAGGATGAACTTTGTGATGAAGATTCCTGTGAAGAAAAAAAAATTGTTGATRCAAAAGTTGGCATTCTGTTTTCTGGTGGAATAGACTCTATTGTTCTTGCAGCATTAGCAGACAGGTAAATTAATAAATCCATTATATATTTATACTTATATTGTATAGTCATCTAATGGGCTCAGTTTTGTGTGGTTCACTCTACATGCATTACCACTTACTACTAACATTCACTATTTACAGCACTTGCATGTTGATTTTTACAGAGAGAGTGGGAAAACTTAAGAGGGAACCTGGAGAAAACCCTTGTGGCAAGGGAGAGAGCAACACATCAAAGAAACTCAACTAACATATATGTGGTTCAGTCAGGAATCAAACCTGCGTTCCTAGGATTGAACTACAGTTGGGAGAGACAATGCAGTAGCAACGCCATCGGCATGCCCCCATGCATTTGTCCTTCCATTCATCCATCCGTTTGCTCGTCTATTCTACCCACACGTTCAACCGTCAATCCATCCATCTTTTCATTACCTCTTATCGCTTCTCAGAAGTTTTATACCACAATATTTTTACAGCTGTATTTTATTTCAGTTTTGTCCCTATGACCGAATCAATAGATCTCATTAATGTTGCATTCGAGCAAAAGGTTCCCAAACAAAACCCCACAAACAAAAAGAAACCTAAACCCAACAAAACAGAAGAAGAAGAAGAAGAAGAAAGAGGATCCAGATTTGATGTTCCAGACAGACTGACGGGAAGAAAAGGGGTTCTAGAACTGAACATGATTAATCCTCAGAGGCAGTGGAACTTCATTGAGGTAATAGGTCACTTGACAAATAAAACATGCCGTAGTATTGAAGTTAAAGTTGATTCTAATGGTATTTCAGAAGAAGAAAAGGGAAGAACAAATCGTAGTTGCACAACTTTGTACCAGACCATTTGCGCGATGGCATCGTTTTATTATCAGAATACTTTGCGAATTTTCGGTTCTTGTTGACAGAGCAGAACTAGTCAACGCCTCGAGAATAAAGCCATACCATTGATAAGTTAGGCGCAATTAGAAAAAAATATGTTTTTGTTTGTTTTGCAGGTCAATGTTAACCTGAAAGATCTTCAGGAAGCAAGGTCAGGAGTATTTTGTTGTTGTGAACTAGCCTGCGTGCATTGCGGTCTGCGGTTGTCCTTGGACGAAAAGGGCGAAAATCTTTCTCCCTTCCCATACCCCTTTGTTAATGGGTACTCATAGCAATGCAGGATTTTTGTTAACAAGATAGTTCTCTATTGTTATATCCATACCACGTTTAACAGACTATTGATATATATATATGTGTGTGTATATAGGTTGAAGCATATTACCCACTTGGTGTCCCCCCTGACCTCCGTACTAGATGATAGTATAGGCTGTGCACTATGGTTTGCGGCCAGGGGGAGTGGCGTATTACGTTGCCCGACGTGTATTATGGGAACTACAGGCGGTTCTACAAAGTGCGTTCATCCGTATGAATATACCGGCGTGGCAAAGGTAACAACAACAACATTATAATTCTTTTTTTGTATTTATCTTTATTCTTGGAAATTTTTTTTTTTTTTTTTTTTTTTGCTGCTGCTGTTTTTGCGTTGTTGCTGCTGATACTACTGGGCCCGGTTGTACGAAGGGTGGATAGCGTTATCCGACGGATAGATCCTTATCCAGTGGATAAGTCGATGCTGTTATCCAATAAATTTATCCACTGGACCAGGCTTCGTACAACCGGGCCCTGCTGTTTTAACTGCGGCTGCTACTACTTTTGTTGCTACCGCTGTTGCTATTGTACAGAGAAATTTACACTCATACAAAATCCCTTTTCTTTACTGTATTTCATCCATGCGCAGGTTCTACTGGTGGGGATGGGAGCAGACGAGCAGCTTGGAGGATACGCAAGACACCGATCAAAATTCAAGTGAGAGTCATGATTTATTTTGAGTTTTGCTACGCCTTCACGYCACGTGGTCAATATTCTCGTATTCTAATTAAGTTTCTTCTATCTGTAGTCAACAAGGCTGGCAGGGATTGGTGGATGAGATGGAGATGGAAGTCAATCGAATATCAGAACGCAATTTAGGTAGAGATGACCGCTGTATATCAGATCACGGGCGCGAGGCGCGTTTTCCATTTCTTGACGAGCAAGTTGTGTCTTTTCTAAGTGGGCTCCCTGTCTGGCTCAAGGTAAGTTCTATAGTATAGCATAAGATTAATCTTACAATAGAGATAAAACACAAACATAATTTTGTAGTTAGCCACAGGTAGCCCAGTGTTCTCAAAGCGCATGTTTAGTTTGGACTCAGGAAGCCCAATATGAAATCGCAATGTCTCTGTCAAACCCACCGAACTTAATAAAAAGTTCTCGTGATTTCAGGCTGACTTAAGATTACCGAGAGGGACTGGGGAGAAGATCTTATTACGTCGAGCAGCAAAGTTACTGGGTCTTACGTCTTCAGCGGTCTTACCCAAAAGAGCCATTCAGTTTGGTTCACGTATTGCTAAACTTGAAGGAACGAGTGAGAAGGGATCTGACACGTGCTCGCGATTAAAATTAAATTAATTCTTTTTATATCTTCTGTAATATGATATAATATATGATATGCCCGATGGGGGGAGGGGAAGGGAAGAGATTTAGTCTTTTCACACATCTTCATCAAACAATCCTTACTACTTTCTAATATTCTTCACACGAGCTGTTCAACCATTCAACTCACGCGTCAGAGGTTTTACTGATTGTTTCCGAGGAACCGGAAGCTTTGTTGAACGATAAACAGTTTTATTTTTTACTCGGAAAACTGGTCTTAAAACAATAAAACTAAACCCAACCTAACAAAAGAGTGGTACTGTATTAAGTGGACAATCAAAGCAACCGCGTTGATTGGTACTTTATTGCTGGGAAAGTTGTCTAATAAAACCTTATTACACTTTCACTTTCCATGTAAAAGCCTTACCCGAAATTCGTAACTGCATTTGGCCTGACAACCGAATAGTCGGACTGATTCTCGAACAGACACGTGTGACTGAAAACGTCCGTGATGTCTGTACCGTGATGGCTCGCCTTTCTTCAGTTTCCTTGTGATTTCCTACTGGTTAGGAAACGCATGCGCAGATGAGAACTCGTTCCGTTAATGGTTCGACACGCGGGACCATCGCCGCAACGTCGTCTGGTTTCCCGTCTGGTATAAGCGAAACCACCAGTTTTACTGCTCTTGTCCTTTTGTCAACTGATGATGTAGCGTGCATTGGTTTTGATAACAATTTGTGCCATAATTGTCATAATCTTCGCGGGGTGTTGCCGTAACTGGTAAAATGGTGGTGCCGCAGCAGGGAACTTCTATTTTGCTCACCTCCATTCTAACGGACGCATACCCTATTTATTACGGTCATCCAAAATCATTGAAGGACATTGACCACTTTACTACGGCCGGTAACTCACAGATCGATCCTTGAGACAATATTTAAGCCACAGATATTAATAATAATAATAATGAAACTTATATAGCGCACATATCAAAATTCATGGCGCTTCACAATAAAAAATAAAATAAATTACAGACGTATGTTACAATATTGATAAATGTCATAGTTCATTGATATTCACTTTGAACCAGAGGAGACAAAGTTCTTGAACAAATAAGTTTTCAGTTCATTCTTGAATAATTGGATTGAAGAACTTTTCCTAATTTGAAGTGGGAAGTCATTCCACAGTTTGGGTCCAGCACTTAGAAAGATCTGCCACCATAGGTCACCAGACGAGATCTTTGTTCTTCTAGATACTCCATCGTTGTAGATCTGAAAGTGCGCAAATTTTCTCGATTCTATAGCATCAGCCAGGTATGGGGAGCTATATCATACAAGCACTTGTACACAGTGAGCAATATTTTGAATAAAATTATGAACCATACTCCAAAAATTCGACTTTTCATCATTTTTTTAACACCAAATTTAACGAACTAATTCACAATGCCATTTTTATGGCGATTATCTTTCACGGAGTGGAAAACTTGAAACAAGGTTTTACGTCCCACAGAGTTTCATCAAGGTCTGGTCAAGTTTGGCCCCTTCTCTCCTACTGGTGTTATTGTCGGCTCGACAAAAAAGGCGGTTTGCGGTAATTAAGCAACGCCTACATAATTAGGTCAATGATGGGGAATTTAGAAAAAAGTGTGCCATATATTCATTTAGTACTTCACCGAGAACAGGTGTCGATGGTAGATCGTTAATGCTAAACCTGACCTAAATGGAGAGGCAATCTTATTTTCCTGGAGCAAAACGTTACGCTTGACTTCAGTGCACAGGAAACTGCCTACAGCCAGACATTAGTTATGATAAATTTTACTTGAAATTTCACATCCATTTGATATTTAGTTTAGGATGGTAAACCAGTTAGTGAGATATCCTTGTCAACTATTAATTTCCCCTCAAATTAACCTAATATCTCAACTGTGCTCTAAAAAAGTCATTACTCGCATTCTTACAATACATAATGAACGTTTTACTAAGGCTAACTGATCTGAATTTTTTTTAATCGATAGTCACCATTCGTTAACTTGGCGCCTGTTATAAATCAGCATGAGATCTGCCCGCGAGTATAAATAAATATGTCAAAATATAAATAAATAGAAAGTCGAAGTATAGTTTATTATTTTAGTCACCATAATATTTTACCAACAAAATTCGTTTGACTTTTACTAAAAGAAAATCATCACAAGATTGGAAAAAAAACCAAAAAAAAAACGATATGTGATGTTTTAATTTATTTATTTTTTAAGAATTTCTATCGAAAATTTGTTTTAAGTTAATCAATAGTGAGAGGGACGGCCTAAGAAAGTATTAAAAAAGAAATCTTATTTGCTTTTAATTTTTAATAAGTTTTTGCTCTTTATTTTTGGATTCGAAGGATCTAGAATAAGTACTACCAAATTGCAGTCTTTTCTAATCGACTCATTTATTCATTGATTTTCTACGCTATTTAGTGTATTAATTGTGGAAGAAACAGAAAATTCTATCAATAATATAAACTAATCATTGTTGAATTGACACTTTGAAACGGTGTTTAGATAAACGAAAAATGAAATGATAAATAGAGTTCAATATTAAATAAGTTAATTAGAGGAGGTGAAGTTATTATAATCCATAAAAGGCTGTAATATTGATTCCTTCAAACTTAGTTTTTAATTTTTGAAGAATGTTGAATTCATTGGAATGAGGATTTTTAGTTTTTTGGCATGTCCTTTGTATTGGTTGGGAAAAAAAACAATGGAAAAAACACGTGAACAAGTTTTCATTGTGCTCGATATGCTACGAAGAACAAAAAAGTAAAACCAATGTTATAGGTGGCATGAAAAAAACAAAAAAAAAAAAGAAAACAGAGCGAAAAAATAACAGGTTTAAAAAAATTATCAATGAAATACGTTTTATATTATTCTCAAATATTCCTTTAAGATTTTCTGTGGTTTTATTTAACACGTGATGTCAATTCCTGGAAGAAAACCACAAATGCAAAAAACGTAGGAAATTCAAAAAGGATTTTTGTTGTTTACAATTATTTCATTTAGTTTTTTAAAACGAAATGTCATAATATCCTTTGTCATTGTTTTCAAACTTGTCTCTCCAATCAACTAAGTTTGCTTTATACTTCATCAATATTAACTACATTTCTTTTTTATCTACCACAAAAAAATCCCTGGTGACAATCACTTCGTGCTGGAGTTTTGACAGCTAACTTGGTTTTTCGTTATCCTGTCAATTAAACGAAGACATTTGGTGGATTAACCTCATAACTAAACTACTTGGGTTATCCAAGGGCTCCCACAAGGTAAATTATTTCCATTTAGTACCATTTGTATTTTCGTCGTAAAGTTTTCTAGTTTGTTATTATGCAGGGACGGTCAGTCAGTATGTAAAAAAGCATCTGGTTTCAGTGCTAAGTACCCCCAACTAACTCCTAGATGAAATCCTAAATTTCCACCAAAATAACCTCATTAAATGTAATCGTTTATAGGTAACACTATTTCTAAGAAATACTCTTTGTGATATTTAGTGATTTTGGTTGTTTTATATACTCATTACCTGTAGTGACCAAATTCCTTTGAACTTGTTTCTTTCCATTCACGAGAATTCAAGTGGTATTTTTATTAAGAGCTGTTTAAATCAATTCGATGTAGTTAAACTGTAAGAGAAATTCCGTTTATTACAACCCACTTATATTTCCGATAACTGGATAGCATAAATGTTAATAATTTAAAAGTGTCTAGTTGACTTGACTTGCAGTTTATAACGAAAAATGCAAAACATTTCGTCTCTTCATGTGATCTCTTTGCAAAATCCAATTCCTATCCTATTCCGCCAAATCGATTTAGAAAAAAAACTGCAATTGTTATTCTAATAGAAAAAGACATTGTTTATCGATTTTGTGGAGTCTTGGATGTCAAAACATGTAAAGAATACTGCGATTTTTCTTTGACAGGTGTTTGTAACATAAATTCTTGCCTCGAACGGTTGAGTCATCCTTGTAGACTGACACTGCTTTATAACAAACACATTTAATCAATAAATTTTATAGAAATAATTTCACTTATAATTCCAGTATAATTCTTTTATCAACACAATTTTTATTTCATAAAAAAACTAAGTTAATTGGTTTATTGATTAGATTCTCGAAGAATTTTCACGTAAATCATCGCCACACATCGGGAAATTATTGTTTGGAAACACTAACAAAGTTTTGTTTTTCACCAACTGGTATACACTTCTCTGTTTTTCTTCGGCGAGCTTTTAAGTTTTTCAAGAACCCGTTTTGTTTACAAAACGGTGAGATAAAGCTATCCAGCTGTGGTTTTCACTAAGTAAATTCATTCTTTTCGAAACAAAACTAAAAGCATTCATAGTTAGCAACCACCACCGGAGGTCAAAGCATTTATTCGCCTCAAAAAGATCGAATTAAGTGTTTGATTTTAAAGTCGATAAACTATTTTACTTCTAGAAGAATGAAACGATTTAATATAAGATCGATTGAAGTTCAATTTCAAATTTCAAAAAAGTTTTGAAAGAAAAATTGGAATCCCAATACTAGAAATTTTAATTTGCCCAAATCGACTCAAGTTTAAGTTATATCTTTTTTTGTTTCGATAGAGATATACAATATTTATTCATTTTTTGTTGGTTAAAACTCCAGTTAAACATCTTGAAGTTACAAAAATACTATGAAAGAGACTGTTAAAAAAATAGAAAATTTTTGCCTTAATTTGGCCAAAAATGAGGTTTATTAGGTACGCTATTATAGTTTTTATATCGTTGTAAGTCATTTATCGTGTCAATAAAATTTCGTATTTTGACAAATACGACAGGTACTACAATATTTTATTCAAAATAATTACAGCAGCAACTTAAACTAAGTAACCTCAGATGTTGAAGGATTTATTTTTTCCACCATATTTCACTTGCTCTCAATTTTTTTTCTTTTTTTTTTCTTTTTTTGCTTTTGCATCAAGTTTCATTCGGAATTCTATTTGTAATTTTTAAACAACTGAATTTCGCTTCTCAGTTTTGTGAAAAAGTGATAAAAACTTCTGTTAATTAGAATTAATTTTCGGTTTATAGTGTAAAATCTTTATAAGGATATTAATGTTTTACAAGTCACGTTTGTACTTACTTTCTTGCCGTGTTGTGCCAGTTAGCTGTCAAACGAGTAGCAAAAAACTCTACTCTTGTCGTTTCTGTTTTCATTTTAGGACAAAATGACAGAACTTTGAAAGCACGAATAAAACAAGAAAGGCTTGATGATTTAAAAAATCACGTAAAAAAATTGTATTGATTTCCTGTCTGTTTTTGATGCATTTAAAACTGATCTTGCTGTTCAAATCGTAAATACGAAACTCGAGGACTAAGTTAAGTTAAGTTGAAGTTTTTGAAGGAAGAGACAAAAATGCGGTTTCATTTGTTGTCCTTGCCATTTTAAAAGACTTCTAACTCATCTAAAAATTGAGAACGTCATTTATGAATGAAAAGTATAATTTTCTAATCTTCTTTAAAATATAAAATGGTTGTGAGCATTCATTTTCTTAACATTGTTGACGATTACCGATGCAAATTTTACATACTAACGTTTTGAACTAAATGTTCAATATTCATAGCACAATGAGAATTAGATAATAGGAGCTTGAAAGAAAAATGGTTGACTATGTTTACTTTAAAACGTCTTGAAAGTAAACCAGGTTGAATTCATATGTGCTTCAAAAACCATGGATGTATTTTAAACAAGTTCGTGTTTCATTGTTTTGTCGCTTTAAATTTTCAAAATGATCTGAATTAATGAGTTTACCTCATGACTTACTCCGACGAAGGACTAACGTCCGAAACGTCAGTTTCACAAAGCTTTTTACGGTGATCCAATTTATCCACAAGTTCCTACCAGTTTATTTCATACTTTTTTAAGTTTACGAGATTTGTGAAAAAAATATTCTTCCCGTGTAACTCAGTGCTAGTTTTGGAACACTCGAGACTGTATAACCAATTCCAATGTAAAAGTGAGACTTAATAATAGGAGAAAGTTAGAGAAATTATTACAAATGTATTGATATAAACTTTTATAACTAGTTCTGGGTTGGTTAGGAGTGTCGGGAGTTGTTCATTGAATTTAGTTAACCTAGGATAACTTCGTTAACCACACCTTCCAGGTTAACCGCAGTCATTCTAGAAATGATGCCTTTATTCAAAGTTAAATCCCAAAATAAATTAGGGATTGGGTCAGAACAAGTTGTGAGAGCGACTGAGGTCGAAGTTCTCGCTCAGTAGGAAGCACACCAACTATCTTAGCCACAGTGATACCGCTGACACTTGAGCCAATAACGTTTTCTTATCATACACATTTTAGTGTTAGAATTGCTAGAAATTTTTCATAAACGATTTTTCACACCTAAAATGTTGTTTCGTTTTATACGTAGATATGTAGAATTGAATTGGACACTAAGCTTTTTCGTTTTTTTTTTTTTTTTTTGTAAGGTTTCGGACTCTGAGCTTTCGGCCATGTTGGTCATAATCAGGTTACAAAGATTCGTAATTTACTAAACTGGATTTTTCACCTTACACGTGTCTCGAAACCTGTAATCGTGATTTGATTACAGAATGTTTTTATTTTTAAGATTACTTTGAGATTCGCACCAGTTGTTGTTTAGATACACCATTAGTACTAGTTTTGCACTTGAAACAATGTATTTCAGGTGCGGACGCATTGACCATTGAATTAGTGTGATTTATTTTAAAAGTTACTAATTCCACCTATTATCACAACATTATGTAAGACTCTATAGTTGAAGAGAAAAAAATGTTTTTTTATGCAATTTACTTATCAACTTGATATAATAAGACATAACTAGCTAAAAACTGTGAGCTGCGTCGGTGTTTCTAATGAAACAGCAATGATAAATGGGTAAATCATACACCTTGAAAAGATGAAAAAACTTACTGACGTTTCGGACGCTAGTCCTTCGTCGGAGTAAAAGAGAAACGTGTTACAATGTATTTCAGTTGTAGACGCATTATATGTGAATTTTGTTTTTCTTATAAAGTAATAAATGTAAGGCTCTGACTCAGATAACAATTATTTACTGTTGCGGTAGTTTTCCCAGTGTAATTGATATCTCGTCCCACAAACATAGTATCTGTGTAAGCTATCTGTTTGAAGTACTATGAGAATATTGCGAGACACTTTTCTTTTATTGAAGGATTTGTGAGTCATTATTGAAAACGGTACTTTAGTCTCGGCGCTTATACTATTAGTAATTAGAAAACTCATTAATAATTCATGAGGAAAACACAATAGAAATCATGACCATGAAGGTGATTTTATATCGGATATAGATTCGTCTTCATTTGCATAAACTTTAACTTGGATTTTCTCTATCAAACTTGGTTCATTTCGTAAAGAATTCTGTACCATATGAGAACATACATCATGAGTTTTCTAAGCCGTTTAATAAACTCGCAGATCGTGTTTTATCGGGTCTAAAACCACTCGGCTACGCCTCGTGTTTTATACCCGATAAAACACTCCTGCTCGTTTATTAAACAGTACATAAAGTGTTTGACTTTTATAAATTCATAAAATTTTAATAAACTATTATTAAGACACCCTGCAAATATAAAAGAATTTCAACCGGTTAAGGGATAAACTAACCTGGAAATACTACCAGTCGTTATTGCTTACTATACTAATAATTCAATTCCAAACCCTCCTGTGAATAAGTCTTCGTCGCGAAAATAGAAACTTCACAATACAAGGTTTGTCATGATTGTGTTGTATAGTTTGGAAATCTCATAGTACTAGTTAATTTGAAGGAAATTCTTTTAATCTCAATTTAAACGATACAATTGTTGTTTTCTATTCAAAAACAAAAAGGTTTATCGGCGTTTACCGCGAAAACCCTTAGCGTTAAGTAGATACTTAAAGTCTAAATCTTGTACATGTAGTTTTTAAGATATTTCAAATCGTATTCTTTAATGATGTAGAAGTTGCCGAAATATGGTGTGAGTTTCATTTTGACAGCAAGGCCCCCCGAAGTGTCGCTGAAAGAACATTTTTAAAAATATCATTCATTGTCTGGACTTTAAATTCAAAAATTTCAGTGTGTTTCTGTAGTTAAAAACTTAATCTACCAAAACATAAACTTATTAAAACAAAACTATTTGGTGGTTTTAGTTAATTCGGTGGGATGTTTCACAGTAAGACGTTAAGAAAAAGAAACTTATTTGGAAACTTCTTTTGCGATAATAACAATCATAAAATAATCATTGTTTATAACAAAATAACGAAAAATTCTTCTGTTCTTCTCGCAGTTCGATAGATTTAGTCTTTACATCTTCATAGTTTTTCCTGCTTTTTCAGCATCAACAGTTTGAACTACTTTCTCGATTTTCTGCGAATTCAATTGACTTCTCAAACTCATCAAATTCGTTTTTATCAAGCACTTCAAGTTTGAAACTGTTTTTTCTAGCGATGATTTCACCAGAGGAACGAAAGCCTACAGTTTCCTCGCCATCAAAGGATCGAATTAAGGTTTCCTGGGAAGACTTCTATGCCTTTCTTTATGGTCATCGTGAAGTGGTCGCTGTAGACCCCGAAAATGTCAGACATAAATACGACAAAAAGAGACGAGTTAGTCAAGAAAAATTAGAAACTGGTAAGTTGTCAGTTTTTCCAGAAACTTTTTTAAATGATACGCGAACTCATTCACAGTTCCCTGCGCCATCTTGAAAGGTAGCCGTTTTTTTGCTTCGGAGCGAAACGAACGGTGCGCTTGCAATGATTGAGATATGTAAATAATTGTCCAAGGTGTTAAAAAGGGTCTCTATTATTGCAAGCTCACTGTTCGTCTCACTTCGATGCAAAGGCACGGCTATCTTTCAAGATGGCGCAGGGAACTGTGAAGGGGACCATTAGTTCATTGGGTTCCAACATTTTATCGGAAAGACGCAAAAAGTTTGACTCAAAAACTGTGAATAAACTCTACCAAACATCTAGAACCTTGGAGTTCATTATTACTGCAGTCATAAAAGTTTAAAATTTCTCTTAACCCTCTTGTATGCGTTTTCCCCCTTTTCCAGAAAAAATTGAGAGAAGAAGGTCGTCTTCTCCACTTGCTGCACTGGTCTTCCCAGACGAGGTACAACTTTGTCGTTCAAGTATTCCTGGAGCGAAGCTGGGTGTCTGTGCTGCACGTACCGTACCCCCCGGTACGTGGATCGGCCCGTATGAAGGGCATTTAGTCACCAGAGAAGAGATAAAACCGGATACTGATACCCGATATATGTGGGAGGTAAATATGACATATGTCAAGGACTATTCAGCCCTAGAATAGTGACTCTATATCTTCACGTAAACCAAAATATTTGTACTAATAGAAGCTTGTATTTGTCTAGATTTATAAAGATGGAAAATTCAACCATTACGTTGATGGCCAAGACGAAAAGACGTCGAGTTGGATGCGTTTTATCCAGTGTGCTCGTTATAGGGAAGAACAAAACATGACAGTATTCCAGTATTGCGGCAATATATATTACCGTGCTTACAAACACATTCCCGCTGGACGGGAGCTTTTGGTCTGGTACGACGAGAAGTACTCGGAACTCATCGATATCCCTGCATTATTGAAGAATTTACCAAGAAAAGGTTTGTGAAGTTGATTAATTATTTTAGAGGGTTTTCATGGCAGCCATGTTATTTATTATATTGTTATTTGTCAAAAGTGATTTGCTTTTTTTTTTTTTATTTCAATAGAAACCGGAACAGTTTGGAGGAATCCTTTAGGAAGTCCGAACTCTGCCATCCCAAGAGAAAATGACATGTTTTATAATGGATTAGGGCAGGTAAAGAACATTCTTGCCATCCATTCGTCCGTACCATTGCTTATCCATTTAATCGTGCAACCATCCATTCATTTATCCACTAACCTTGCATACATGCATGCAATAATGCATCCATTTATTTTTCCATCCTATCCATCCATCCATCCATCCTATCCATCCATCCATCCATCCCTCCTTACCATTGCTTATGCATCCAACCGTGCAACCATCCATTCATCTATCCTCTAACCTTCCGTACATGCAGGCATCAATGCATCCATTAATCTTTCTATCCTATCCTATTGCTTATCCATCCATCCTTTCATTTATCTTTTTCATCCATCCATCAATCGATCAATCATCCACTTATCTTTGTTTGATATTCTCTTGATTTAAAATTTCTGGTTTTGGTCTCTTTCATAAATTCAAAATATTTTGTCCTTCAGGAAAACGGATTGGACCGTTTAAGCCAACACAACGGAATTTTTCCAATGGATCTGAACGACACCGGCGAAGTAAATATGTGGAAATGTGGCCAGTGTAACCAGACATTCAGTCAAAGAGTGCTTCTACAGATGCACATTTGTTCACAAGCTCCCGATAAACCGTTTCACTGCGGTCACTGTCCCACTGTCTTTAAAGATGCCAGCGAACTTCGTGATCATGTTGTCACTCATATCAACGAAAAACCATTTAAATGCGGCTTCTGTGGAAGATCATTCGCTGGTGCTACGACTCTTAATAATCACATTCGAACACATACCGGAGAGAAGCCATTCAAATGCCGAAAGTGCAATAAGACATTCACGCAATCGACACAGCTGAGCAGACATCAAAAGAACCCAGAGGAATGTATTCCAAGTTCATCGGAGAAATAGCAAGCTTTAGCTTTGTTCATCTCTGAGTGGAATAACTTCTGCTTATTTAAATTTCTGGCACATTACTATCGATTGTTTCACCGAAGTACAAACCATTGTATATTACCAAGGAACTTCTGCCCCCCCCCCCCCCCACCTCCAAAGCACAACACTAACATATACACATGGGCCAAAACATGAGAAAAAGCTTAAAACCACATGCATTATAAGATTCTGTTTTACACTCTGGAAGCTATTGAAGTGAAAACCAAATTACGCTTCGTGTTGCATCCTGGAACTAATTCTCCAACCTGCAATACTGCAATGCATTTTGGGATCATATTTAATTGCGCATGTGCACATATATAGAATTAATAAATTTGTGCTGGGAACGCGAAAAAAAGCACAAATTAATTTGCTTTTAGATTAAATTTTGTAATTTTTAATAACGAGTCACTAATATTGCTAGCAATAACCTTGTTGCAACATTTTTGGTTTATTTTTTGATGAAAAGTATACGGTAAGTTTTAAGAATTTTAAAAGTGACAAATGCTATCAAAAACAAGGGATGGCGGATCATCCATTTTGAAGGTTTTTTGTGTTTTATAGGTGCTWCTCCATGTTCCAAATTATCAAGTTTTTAATATTATTGCGTCATGAAACGAAATAATTTGTTGATATSATAAATTTATAGTTGAACGGTGAAAATTGAATTGAATCAATTTTATGTATGAGTTAATTTGTGTACAGCCAATCTTGTACCCTGAGTCCTCCAGCGCCTGATATGTCGTCAGCACCTTACCGGCACAAGCTCGCTGACCAAAAAGCCAGAAGACTCTGGGTTCGAGATTGTGTACAGCGGACTTGTTTTTACTCAATCATATAAGTACCGCTGTACATATTGACTACAGGCTCTTTCGTTAAGGATACTGAACTTTCGTTTGTAAATGACCTTTTAGATTCTAACATGGATCATTTTTTAATCCATGATTGGGCTGAGCGTTAATGCAAACGAGTCAGTAGTTAGGTCGTACAGCGGTCGTTCAATTAAGTTTTTTAAAATCTATTTAAATTTCTTTCTTTTAATGTAAAAATATCTAAGACATGATAGAGTAAAATTTCTTTCTTTTAAGGTTAAAATATCTAAGATATGATAGAGTAAGATTTTAAATTATTAACATTAAAATGCAAAAAGAGTCATACGTTGTGGAACAACTTGTAACATTCTTGAAAACATTAGGCTGCCATGTTTGTTTGTAAGTTTATTTTAACATGGCCTTATCGTCCTTTCTTTTTCTTTTATTTTTATCTTTTCTTTTCTCTACTCTACTCTAAGTATCTATTTTCGGCTCTTCTGTTCTATTCTATGCTCTACTTGTCTATTCTTTTCCCCTCTTTTTTTCTCTCCTGTTCTTTCTCTTTCTCTTTCTCTTTCTGACAGTACTATTGATTAGCACCTGTTAGTTTCATTAGTCCCAAAGCAACTTCATACACTTCCATATTCCAACTTTCCTAAATCATGTTTACTCATCATAATCACTGTTTGTATTTAATATAAAACACAAATAAAAACCCCTCTCAAACATGTTCAAAATAAACTCAGTCCAGATATAACAAAACGCTTTTGGTGTATGTGTAAACTTTGCATTTTACAAACTGTGACTTTATCACCTTGGAAGACGGTTATTTAAACAAACATACGAACACATGTGAAAAAGTCAGTGTGACACTATATGAGTTATCCGTTCAGTGTTTGAACAATTTGATGAAACAACTTTGCTCTCAATTAAAACGTCGACCATGCAACGAAGGATTGTGTATTTAAAACCTCAATCTAGTCTGTTTGAGTTACATATAGGTTTTCATTTCTATACTGATCGTYATTCAAGAATAAGCCAGCAGTCCAGCAATGAGGATGGGCATCGTTTTCTACATGGTGGTTTTCTTCTCTCTAGTTAGCGTTAATTATTCAAGACAGTCAAAGCAAGTAAGTTCATCAAAGCTGACACCAGGCAACTTTATTTTATATTAAATTTAATTTCTTTGATGAAATTGTGCAAAAAAAAAAAAAAAAAAAAGAGGTTAAAAAACCGCTTAGATTCAAATCTTATCGATACCTTGATCAAAGTCATGGCACATGGATTATCTCACACATTGAACCGTGAAACAATCTCTGGACTGATGTAAGTCGTAGCACGACTAACTCACAGATTGAACCATGAAACAACCTCCTGGTTCAGGGCACTTCTAGCTCTCAGAGCGCCTTAGGTTAGTTTCCCAACACCAAGGGAAAAACGTTTTGCCAACTAAAAAAAAACAGGTTTGCCATACTTTTCATTGGAATGGAATGATTTTTTTACTTCAATTTTTTCCAACAAGTATCTTCCAAAAACTACAGGGCAATGGCGTTCAGTTAAACGATGATTGTCATAATGGAATTGGTGKTAGCGGTGGGAGCGGCTGTAATGGTGGAAATAGTGGAAACAGCGGCGGTAGTGGTGGTAGTGGCCAATGYCCAACAATTGACGTGCTCTTKAAAACCTGCTGTAAATCAGGAAAAGATGGYGAGTAACATAAAATTGGATTAATATTGAATATTACACTTATTACTCTTTTACCATGCAGATGAGAATTGTTTGGCATTYATATAGTATTCCCAATATTTAAGAGTTAATGTTCGCTTCTTCCCTCCAGGGCAAGATGGAAGGAACGGTCGTGATGGACAAAAAGGAGATAAAGGCGACAAGGTATCTCTATCATGATCATTTATACTCCAGTTTGGAGTTMTCGTTTGCTCATCTGCTCATCCTTAGGCTGTGCGTTAAAACTTCGGCTAGTCATTCAACCAAAACCCATGGAATGTTAATCAACTTGTATTGTTCCGTAGTACTTACATTCCTTATTATACAGTGGACCTTAATAAAACGAAATAAGGCATTTAGACACCATCAGAGTTAAGGCTGAGCAAGACGAACTCGAAATGGGAGTATTATGATCAAAAAGAAGTATCCAAGGGGTATATCAAGGGCGTGATCCCACGATAACACCCATGGGTTTTAGGAAGAGGAGAAAGAAGGATTGATGGGGAGAGACCTTACGAGACATCATAGTTCCACTCTGAATCGCTACCTGGGGAAAATGCCGGTTACTACTTTTTGTTGCAAGAAAAGAGAGACGAAGCGAAATTATGATGTAATCAAAATAAGAACGAAACATTTAAGGGAGAGATGGATCAAAAAAGTTGCTGTTATAAATCATTAAAGAGGCTAAATAGACCAGTTTCGAGTTCGTAAATTAACATTGTATTACAAACTCTATTACCAGTAATAGTGACCAGTGCCTAAAAAAAAATAAAGACTTTTATATTAACGTTTTACAATCTTTTCCAGGGAGATCGTGGGCCACCAGGAAGCAGTGGGAAATGCAACTGTACCATAAAACAAGAAGTAAGATATCACGTAGCTGACCGATAGAAATAGTTTACCCTGGTCCGTGTCAGGGACGCCTCTTTTCAATTCAAAATATACCATTGTTATAA